TAGAATTAGAATTGAAAGGGACTTTAAAGGCCATCTGGTCAAATCCCTGTATTTTACTTAAACCGAGGAGAATTGAGTGACTTGTCCCCAGTCACACAGGTAGTCAGGAACAGGGCAGGGATTTGAACCCTTTGGGTCCTCAGACTCCAAATTCAGCTCTTCCTACTCTACCACACAACCTCTGTCATACAGGGCAAAGAGAGCAGAAACTGTAAAATCTACAAAATTACTCCAATCACATGAAGGAAAACAACAATGCAAATCATCTGAACTCATTAGATGCAATGACCAATATTAGCTCCAGAGGATAGACAATGAAATAGGCCTTCCTCCTCCTTCTTCTCAGTAGGTGGGAGAGAGAGGACACCCCATGCCAAACACTGAGTATTCTGATGGTGAAGATCTCTATATCTGTTGGTTTTGCTTGGTTCTTTTTTTCTTGAACAAAAAGGGGTATTTTACAATGGGAAATTATCACAATAAGAAGTAGCAAAAATAAAGTGGCACATGTTCAATAAATTTGCGGATGACATAAAGTTGGAAAGGATAGCTAATGCATTAGATGGTAGAGTCAGAACTCCAAAAGATGTTAGCAGGCTGCAGGGGTCAGCAAATAGTCTGAGGGCCAAATCTGACCAGTTTTTGGACTTCCCATGAGCTAAGAATGGTTTTTACATTTTAAAATACAATAATACTTTATTTAAAAATGTAAAAATCATTCTTAGTTCATGGGGCCATACAAAAACAGTCTAAAACAGACAGTCGCTGGATTTGGCCTGTAGGCAGGCCACAAGGCTATAGCATTGGGCTGAATCTAAAAGGATTAAAGTCAATATGGATAAATGTAGAGTCTTCTACTTGGGTTGAAAAAAAAATCAATTTTGCAAATACAGGCTAGATGAGGTTTAGTTAGGTAGCAGCTTATCTAAAAAAAAAAAACTAACAAGAGTTTTTTTTTTTAGGCAATTGGGGTTAAGTGACTTGCCCAGGGTCACACAGCAAGTGTTTGGTCTGAGGCTGGATTTGAACTCAGGTCCTCCTGACTTTAGGGCCGGTGCTCTATCTACTGCTCCACCTAGCTCACCCGAGAGTTTAAATGGACTACAAACTCAATATGAGTCAGTAAAATTGTATGTATGCTCAAAGCTGACCTAATCTTAAATATAGCAATTAGGAAAGTAGTAGTCCCTCCATACTGTTTGTGCTTAATTTTGGGAGTCACATTGATAAGCTGAAGAGTATTCATAGGAGGGCAAGAGGGATGATGGAGAGCCATTTAGACTGATTGAAGGAACCAAGGATGTTTAGTCTGGAAAAGAGAAGACTTACAGGATCATGTTCTCGTGACTTCAAGTATTTGAAAAAAAATGTATTTAGAAGAGGTTCATAGAGATCTAAATGACTTGCTCATGATCACACAGGTTCAAGGCTTTCAGGTAGACAAATAACTCTTAAATTATTTTTCCTTGATCTATTTTCCAGATCATTTGTTTTTCTTGAAACATTTCACCTTTTCTACAATTTTTTCATGTTTTGACTTTGTTTTATTGTTTCTTGATGTCTCGTGGAGTCATTAGCTTCCACTTGACCAATTCTAATTTTTAAGGAGATATTTTCTTCAGTATTTTCTTGTATCTCTTTTGCCACTTGACCAATTTTGATTTTTAAGAAGTTATTTCCAGTATTTTTGTGCCTCTTTTACCATGCTGTTAATTCTCTTTTCCTAATTTTATTGCGTAGTTCTCATTTCTTTGTTCAACTTTTCCTCTACTGCTTTTAATTGATTTTTAAAACCCTTTTTTTTCTTGTTCTTTTTATCTCTTTCTTTAGCTCTTCTGGGAATTCTTAACAGGCTTGTGTCCCATCTGCATTTTCTTCTTTGAGGCTTTGCTTGTAGATGTTTTTATGTCATTGTCTTCTTCCAAGTTTGTGTCTTGAGCTTCCCTGTCACCATAATAGATTTTCATGGTAAAGTTCTTTTTTGTTGTGGTTTGCTCATTTTTCCCAGTCTACTTCACAACTTTGGATTTTATGTTAGAGTTGAGCTCTGCTCACATCTGGGGGGATGGGGAGGACAATGACTGATCTGAGTTTCTGTCTTTTATGTCCTTTTGCTTTCATAGCTTAGTCTGGAAATCTATAAGTTTTTGTCATTTCCAAAGTGGTGTGATCCAGGTAGAGGTCTGTTCCCTGCTTTCCTGATCTGAGCTCTGGTCTTTTCAAAGGTAGGGCTCCTGTTTCTTCACAACTACAGCTGTTTCTCTCTGCTCTTGAATTGTGACCTAGAGCAGGGTGATGGACACATAGCTGCCAACTGGCATCCAGTCCTGTACCCCAAGCTAGTATAGGAGTCCCCTGGGATCTCTTTCTGCCCAGGTTTTCAGTCCCTCCTATCATCCCTGGGAGCTGCTCCCAGCACCACTGCCACCACAGCCCACCACAATCCTGGGCAGCCCTGACCCCGTGTCTGTAGACTTCTCTTTCTGTCTTCCTAGGTTTTTCTGGGCTGGAAAAAAAAAAATGATTCCTATGACTTTTTCTTGACTTTCCTGCTCAGAATTCACTGCGGTGCATTTTCTGTGGCTGTAAAAGAGGTTTGGGGGGAGCTTTGGCAGTTGTAAACTTTCATTCTTCTTGATTTCTCACCATCTTGACTCATTCCCTGGACTCATGGTCACATGAGCTAGGATTCAAACTTGGGTCCCCTTACTCAAAGCCTACCAACTCTCCACTCCCCCAAAGCTAAACATCACTTGGCGCTTAGAACAGTACTAGGTACATTATCAACCCTCAATACATATTGGCTGATGGATTGATTCTCAGTCCTTGCAACTATGTTAGTAACCTGACAATTACTGCCTCATTTTTTTTTTCTTTCAAAGTTCCCTAGAATTTACCTGTACCCAACAGCTCCATCATAGACAGAATCATTCAGGTAAATGATGGAACCTCCAGGAAGTACAAACTGCTGTCCAGCCGGAGCATTGTAAGATACCAAACCATCTGTTGAGGGAAACAAAGTGGTATCACTACCTTGAGGAAAAAGATCACACAGGTACCAGCCACTTACATTTATGCTAAGCTTTGCCATTCACAAAGTGCTTTCACATTCATTATCTCATTTTGTTCGGTTTAGGCAAGGCAGGCATTACTATTTTTCTGAACATCAGAGAAATTAAGATTTAATTTCTGCCACTTACTAACTATATTACCTTGGACAAGTCCTTAGTCATCTAACCTATAAAATGAAGGGATGGAACTCCCTGATGTCCTGTAAGGTCCCTTCCACCTCTAAAGCTTATAATCCTGTAACTTGCCTGTTGACACAGCTAATAAGTGGTGGAGGTCAAGTGGTATCTGAACCTGGATTTCCTCTTTCTATCTAGTAAACTTTCTACTTTCCTCTGCAATTTTGTACAGAAAACAGGTTATTCCAGAGAACTTGATCAAAGGTTCAAGGGAATGCCCAATACATTTGGCCCGTGGAGTACAGATGGAGGGATAGTGCTACTATAGGAGGCCTCACAGAATTGGGGTGAGGAGGAGGGGGGATGTCAAATACCCAAGTAAAACAGCCATAGAGGTACATCTAATCAATTCAGAGCCTGCACATTTCTGGATGGGGAGTGAAGGGTCAATACTGAGCTCTGGAAAAAACTCCTCTCATATGAGTCACCATTTTTAAACTTTTGTAGGGATGCAAAAATGGTCTATTTGGGGCTGCAATGCCATTACATTCTTCCCCTGATGAATAATGAGCAACATTTAAAGCAGCAAAAAGGCGGGGAAAGCCCTATTTGGCTAACTTTTCTAGGGTCCATAGTCAAGTAAAAATAAAAGTTCTCTCTCCTAATGCCCATGTCTTCTCTCATACACAGACTGCCCTCCAGCTTCTACACTGAAAGCATTTCAGAATGAGTGGCAAGGACTCAGAGTCAATTTCCTTTTTCACCCATAATCTGAGCCAGAAATTTGCTTTTATGATGTTCCAAGATCTGTGATTCAGGGGTGAAACATCAACAAGTTTTTTTCTTTTCTTTTTTTTTTTTTGGTAATCCCCCCAGGCTAACATGCAATCAAGGTATGTGCCAGGGAGAGTACAATCAAGGACCCTGAACCTTGTGAACTCTAGGCGGGTTGGGTAGCCTTGATGAATAGGGGGAGTTAACAGTTTAGGTTATACAAGGATAGGCTTATGTATTAGTCATACATTCCTGCTCTCACTCTGGGGAAACGGCCTCTTCTAGCTCACTCAGGATCTTTGAATCATCATCATTACAATGACCAACTTGCTAAGATTCCCTAATGTGTAAAGGGCACTATCTGGGATTTGAACATTAAGTAGCAACCTCCAAATCTAAATAACCTTTCATCATGCAGTGTATTGAAATTCCTTCTCTATGCATATTGTTTCCTCCAAGAGAATGAAAACTCCTTGAGGGCAGAGGCATAATAAATGCTTAAATGAGACAGTGTATGTAATGTGCTTTGCAAACCTTAAAGCACAAGCTAAATCTTAGCTATAGATTGATAGGTAGCTAAGTGGTATAGAGATAGACCTGAGTTCAAATCCTGCCTTAGAAACTTACTAGCAAGTAGCTTAATTTCTCTCAATCTCAGTTGCTCCATCTGTAAAATGGGGATAATAGTCACCCCACCTCTCAGAGTTGTAGCAAGGCTCAAATGAAATACAATGTGAAGTACTTTGCAAAACTTTATAGGTGTCTCAATGGATAGAGCACTGGGTCTGAAGTCAGAAAGATCTCAGTTTAACTCAGTCTCAGACATTTATTAACTATGTGTCCCTGGGCAAGTCACTTATCTTCTGTTTGCCTCAGTTTCCTCATCTGTAAAATAGAGATGATGGCACCTACCTCCTAGGAATGGTATTAGGATCAAATGACATAATATTTGTGCTTAGCATAGTTCCTGGTACATAATAGATGCTATTATTATTATTGTCATTATTATTATAATGCTATATAAATGCTAGTTATTATTTGTTGATAAGCTCCTCCCTTGAGTCCCACAAGAATTATTGGGTGATTCTACCCTTCATCTTTGCCGGCTATCCAAGGAGTTTAGCGGCCAGGCCTGTCTCTAGAACTCCAATGCCTATACTTTGGCAGCCATTTGGAATGACCTCTGATGATACAACCCTTGTTGTATTTTACCCAAATTATAAAAGTCCTACTTCATTGCAGGAGAAAGGGGAATGAGTACAGATCTACCATTAGATCTACCTCTTACCTCTTTGTGTGTGGGACGAGGACATTCACTAGAGGGCTCCCCAGCCACCCCATCCCCTCCCTCCGCTCTGTCCCAATGCCAACCCTTCCCAAGCTCTACCTAGCCAGACGCAACCATAGAGCTCCACCCTCATGCAGACATTCATGGAGTGGTCGGTAACTGGAATGAAGCGGACAAATCTGGCTACGATGGGTGGTTCCAGGTCCTTTAGCACAATATCATAGGGGTTACTATTTCCATCTAGCACCTGAGGAAATAGAAGAGGGAAGGTAGAGAAGGAATGGAAATTCATCTAAAAGATAGACCTTCGTCTAGCACTTCTTCACCTTTCGTGGTTCTGGCCACTTGGAGGGTTCATTTTAGTTTCATTTGGCCGGCAGTAACTCCCAAGCATGCTTGGAGGTCTTTTGCCCCAGACTTCCCCAATCTAACCCTCCCCTCACAGAACTCCTTTTACAAGTTGTCAAAAGGTAGACACTTCCCTCCCCCCACTGAGGGGTTCCATCCCTAATTGGGGTACCATTTCTTATACCTGTTTTCCATGCCTGTTCCTCCAAGAGATCCAGCGGGTACCATCTCTGCTATAATTGATCTTGTACATAGGAGCAAACTCATTGCCATGGCCCCCTGCATGGCGTCCCTGGGTCCCCACAAGGGTGATAAAATGTAGATTGCGTAGGTCAATCTGTAGAAACTCCTTCAAATCATCCGGTTCCACTGGTATCTCTGGGCACCAGGCTCCATCCCCTTCTTCAGAGTCCAGCCTAGGGCAATGGGAAAAAGTATAGAATGGGAAGGGAGTGGGCAATCGTCAAACCACATGGCTGCTTATATCAGCCACAGTGGAAAGCTACCCAGTCCCAACGGCAGAGTATGGTCTGGGATACTAGCATGGAACCTACAGGAGGAGCCTGTCTGACCGCCACCACATATCCGCATTTGGTTTGTTCCCTTACCCCAGGGCACCCCACAACCCAGACACAATCCAAACCAGGAAGCCAGGGAGCCAGAGACACAAATCACATGCAGCTTTTGTTTCCCACCCTAATTTAAAGATCCAGAAGGATATAAGATCTCTTCCCTTATGGCCACCCTTCCATCCCTGCCCCACCTCCACCCCCTAGTGGGTCATTTCGGCTATTGCCCTCTCAGCCTGAGCTTAATGAGGCTGGACTAGTCATGCTTCAAGTTGAGTGCTCTTTACAGTGGGTGTGGTATGGTGGGCTTGGCAGACTGGCAAAGATCCACTGGCCCACATGCCCTAGGGAAATACTAAAGAATGTTGGTTTCATTTTATTTTCTCCAGTCAGGGCCAGTTCTCAGCAAAATCGTGAAATAATGTGCAAGTCAGCCTTCCATCTGACAACTTTTAACCTAAGCCTCTCTGTTTGGGGCCCTTCCTACCCCAATCATTCCCTTTTCCTCTCTACCAGGATCTAATACCTTTATGTTCCAATCTTACTATCCTATCAAAGTTTTCCTTCATATTTTCATTCATTGTGATCAATGAGATCAATTGAGAATTTTACTTCTTAGGTATAAGAGAGGGTTGCATTTTAAGAAAGGTAAAAGCTTTAAAAGGAGTTCTTAACCTGGGGTCTGTGAACTTGTTTTTAAAAATATTTTGATATTTGCTATTTTTAAATATTTCAATAGAATTGTTTTCTTTGCAGTCCTTTTGATTTCAATTTATCCATTCAAAACCATTATTTTGGGAGAAGGGGTTCCTAGGCTTCAACAGACTGCCAAAAGGTTCTGTGATACAAGAAAAAAAAAAAAGAAAGGTTAAGAACCCTTGGCTTAAACTAAAAAAGATGATTCTCTAATACGGCAGGACTCAGGGATTACTCAGTAAGTGCAAGAGGATCTCATCTGGACATTTCCTAGGGTTCCTGAAATTCCACCATTAAGGCAGTCACCTAATAAGCATAGGAGTAAAACTGACTGCCTCCCTTGTGAGGTAGAATGAGCTTGTTGGAATTCTTTGTGGGTTAGTTAAGTTTTTCCTACCTCCCATAAGATGGCTTTGCATGCCATCCTAAGTGAGAATTTTATCAGTTTTACCGGGATGGAACTTAAAGCTAAATGTTAAGGGGTTAGGGATGGGGGTGGGGGTTGGGGTGAGCATTGTGTCACATAACCACTCATTCATTACAAGGTGCCAGGAACAGGATTCGGATCTCCAGATGTCTGCCTGCCTGTCTGTATAAACAACAGCCCTGCCTGCCCAGCCTGGCTGTTTCCTATCACAGAAGCTCTGATTCCCCTCTGGGCTCCTAGAGCTCATGTGAGCATGATGGATGTAAGACAAACAAAACAGATATCAGAAAACTCATTTGCTGTGACAACTGGTGATACTGAGCAGCACCCCTGTTGGTCCTTGGCAGGATCCAGCCCACAGTGCTGAACATCCCATCTTCTCCCTGCAACTAGATACAGTAGAGCAGGGCCACCAGACTGCCCTTCCCCCCTAGCCACATCTGGGCAGTATCTGCAGGTACCCCAGGGACTATCCCCTCCTTGGATAATTGTCCTCACCTTCCATATTTGGCAGCTGTGGATTCCGACCACTGGCTAGAAGCTGTGATGTCCTCATCTGGAATGTGGCCTCCTGATGTGCCCAGAGGATAGCGGCATACCGCTGGACGGAGAGAAACCAAACAGAAGAGGAGGGGGATGAGGGAGGCTACTTTGGGTTTTATTCTTCAGCTCAAGAGGAACATCACAATGATAATTGAGAGAGAAGGTATGGCACCAATGTATTTAAATCTCTCTACAGGATATGTCTAGCTGGATATGCTTCTTCCTTCTAGCTTGTTCATTCTCTCTCAACGAGGGCCAAAGCCATAACTAGGACAGGGTGAATTGAGCTTTGTCCAAGGGTTCTGACATGGTGGGGGACATGCTTCCCCTGTGGTGACCACCGTCCCTGTGATTTGCTTTATGTTCGTGGTTCTCCACCAGCCTACACCATTCTCATCAATAAAATTGGGCTTCTGTGATCCTAGACTATGGACAAAAGTAGGGCACTGTGCTGGGTGCCGTATTTTCAAAGACATGCCCTCAGAGGACAATGGGAGGAGCTACAAGGAACATTAGCATCCACCTAGTCCAATTAATCAGTAAGTGTCCTTGCCCTTCCTACATGCCAGGTACTCTGTAAGGCGGTGGGTATACAAGACACAAACAATACCTGCTCTTGAAGAGCTGACAATCTGGCCAGGGAGACACCACGTCCACGTATAAACACATACAAAATGGAAAAATAAGTATCAGGCGAATTTGAAGGGAAAGCACCAGCAGCTGGGAGAACTGGGAAAGGCTTCACGAAGATGACAGAGAATTTTCCAACATCTCTATTGAGCTGTCATCTGGATTCCACTTAATCATGTCCAATGGCAGGAAACTCACCACCCCTCCCAAGGCAGCCCCTTTCATTCCTAGGCAACTTGAATTGTTGGCTACCTCTTCCACATTAAAACTCTTGAATCATTTGACTAGAGCTCCATAGGGTCCTAGTATATACAGCTGGAAAGTAATTTAAAGGTCATTTGTCCAACCTCTCACTATACAGGTAAGTTGTGTTGTATTTGGAATTCCCTATAGAACCATTCATTGAGTTGAATCAACCCACTGCCTTCACAGAATCAAAGTTGTTACTGATAATGGTTCGAGGCAAGGTCTTCCTTTCAGAGGTTGAGGATGTCAGAAAAAGAGAAAGAGTTGTTGCCCAAGCCTTCAAGGGATATGCAGCTCTTACTGTTATGCCCTGAACCTGTTTATAGACATCAGAAAGTATTACTAGGACAGGTGTGGGGCATGAAGGGATTGTAACCTGGCCTGGAGATAGTGAGTGTGGCATTTAAAAAGCTCAAGAGACATAATTCCTGGGTAATTTAATCATTTGATTAATAATGCTAGCATATTTATTAATAAAAGTATAGTCACTTGGCCATATCTCTTAGACCAAAAGCCCCTCATGGCAGTGGGCTCACCGTTTACATGCCCTTGGAAGAGCAGGTGTTCCTGAGGGTGGCAATCAACTCTGATTGGTTAACAATTCATGAGAAAATGAATCTGACAATGAAAGGATGGACTATATTACAATGAGGGTCTTGGAGTATGTGACTTGGATCACCCAAATCTTGGTCAAAGAGACTTGTCAATTTCCATGTCTGACCTGTTTGACAAAAGGGAGAATCAACACTTACCCAGACCAGTTTGCGCAAACACAATGAGCAGGAATCTGCCCATTAGCCTAAACTTCAAATTTCTTTTACTGTCTGATTTGATCCTGGCCTGGAGAAATCTCTGCCTAAGATTTCCCACACTGGTTGATTTCTGGATGAGGAAGTAGAAAAGGGGGAAATCTTTTGTTCTAACTCAATAATTAGTTATTAAAACAAGAGAGAAATAATCATTTCTCACACGAGGGAACAAACAGAGACTCAGAACTAGCGCTTGTGTTTGAGTGTGTTTCTGTTGGCTCAGTTTGAAAGTGGTAGAAAAGAGGGGGAGAGAGAACAATAGAGTCAAGAAGGAGTGATTGTGGCATAAAGGGATTCAGGAGGTAGCATCAAGGAAAGAGAAAGGGATTAATTATTAATTGTTGATTGCCACCCTCAGGAACACCTGCTCTTCCAAGGGCATGTAAGTGGTGAGCCCACTGCCATGAGGGCCCTTTGGTCTAAGAGATATGGCCAAGTGACCATCCTTTTATTAATAGACATGCTAGCATTATTAATCAAATGATTAAATTACCCAGAATTATGTCTCTTAAATTTTTTGGATTATCTCCAGGCCAGCTGCCCCTGCACATTAGGCCCCAGTGGAAAGTCTAGATGAGAGATTAGGTCCTAGTCTCTACCCTCTGATATCACTACACAGATATGTGTGTGTGTATGTGTGTGTATGTGTGTGTGTGTGTATGTGTGTATATATATGTATATATATACATATATACATACACAGAGAGAGAGAGAGAAAGGGAAAAGAGACAGAGAGAAAGGGAAAGAGATAGAGAGACAGAGAAAGGGAGAGAGGCATACAGACAGACATAGAGACAGATCAAAGAGACAGAAACAAAGACAGAGATAGAGAGGCAGAGAGAGAGGGACAGAGACAGAGATCTCTCTCTATATACATATATACATATATACATGTATATTTATAAACATATATACACATATATAAACATATATATTTATATACATATATATGAACATAAAGAAACTGCTCTAAGAGGCTGGTAGAATTGCTCTCATACCAGTTATCTGAATCAAGCATTTCCTGAGTTCTTCTTAGTCATATGGGGAAGAGAGTGCCAAGGATGGCATAGGGCATAGGGTAGTGGTGATGGAAGTAGGGGATGGTGTGGACTATGAAAGATAGTTCAATCAGTTACAGCTGGTGAGATTGCATCATTACATGTCACAAAACAGTCTCTAGCATCAATGTGCTCCATAGTCCTTAGACGGCCCTTGGCCAGAGGACCAACAGGACCCAGGAGAGGCATGGTCCCCAACCCATAAGATCAGTTCCCATACAAATATCCTATGGAGAGTTGATATTCATGCTCCTCTGATAAATTCCAGGCTGCAGAGTAAAAATTCTTAAAGAAAGGTCACCATGGGAGAGGATGCTGTTCAAAATCCATCAGAAGAAAGCCCACAGAGAGTTACAGAAGTTCCTAACACCCATCCAGCATTGGGTGACTCATATATACCCATGGCAGAAAATATAGGTGAATTATTTAAAAAAAAACAAAAAAACAGAATGATGAATAGAGAAAAAGCAATGGACTTGGAATTGAGAGTTCTGGTTTGAATCTCAGCTCCAACACACACACACACACACAGTAATTGTGCCATCTCAGACAAGTGACTTTTCTCATTCTCTTTTCTGAGTGGGAAACTTTCCTGGTGCTTTGTGCCCTCATCTGAAAAGGGGGAGTAATAAATACTTATTCTAACCACCTCATAGGATGCTTTTTAAACCCTAAAACTTTACAGCTGCCAAAGTGATATTCCTGAAACATAGCTCTGAAAATGTCACTTCCCTGCTCAGGAAACTCCAGTGGATCTCGATTGCCTCTAAGATCAGATACAAACTCTCCTTTCGGCATTTAAAACCCTTTGCAGTCAGATTCCAACTGAACTTTTTAGACTTACTATACATGAATTGCTCCCCTTCACATATTCTTTGTTCCAGCCAAACTGGCTTTCCAGTTATTCCTCACACATTCCACGCCGCATCTCCCTTCCATCCCTATGTCTTTGCACAGGCTGTGTCTCATGCCTCGAATGAACTCTTTCTTCACCTCAACCACTTAGAATCCCAAGTTTCCTTCAAAGTTCACCTCAGGTTCTTCCTCCTACATGAGGACTTACCTGATCCTGATCTCCCCCTGAAATAAAATTTATTTTGTATGTACTGACAGTATATGTATACATATGTTTCCCCCAATAGAATGTAATCACCTTGAGGACAGGGATGATTTCATTTTTGTCTTTCTATCTCTCTCAGCATAGGTGTTTACTAAGTGTTTGCTGATTGACTGATAAAAACACAAACTATAATTGTTTGTTTCTCATCAAAGGATGAGATACCTCAGGATATTTACAAGATTCCCCAAAAGTAGATGTAAGGTCCAAATGGAAACTGGCTCATTGTATGAGGTATCTGCAATCTATAAAGATCTTTTTCCTGATATTTCCTCACAAAAATACTTTTGCCCAGGGTCTGGCACATAGTAGATGCTTAATAAATCAATCAACATTTATTAATCACCTACTGTGTGCCAGGCACTGTGCTAAGCTCTGGGGATACAAAAAGAGGCAAAAGACTGCCTACCCTCAAGAAAATTACAATCTAATGAAATAATATTTATATGTAAAGTGTCGTGCAAATCTACTAGCTATTACTAAAGATATCAATGCTAGATAATATCAGATATTAAAGATGTGAGAGCCAGGCGTTTTCATCAGTCACTGTACTTATTAAAGACAATTACCAATGTCAGAACTGCCACCAAACAAGTGGTTAGATTTTGACTTCTTATCTCAGTCTAATAGAGAAAATCACTACAGAATGAAGTTCTCTATGTTTTTCCTCCCAGGAAGAAATGACATATAGTATTGTGGGAATCATTGAATAGCTCATCTTCTGGGTGAGAGGCGTCCCCCAACCACTGTCCAATGGTGAGTTAATATGTCTTCCTCAGGGTTGCTCCAGAGAAACATACCTTGTCTTTGTATTTCTAGGAGAATGGGCATCACTGGACAGAGGTCTTTCTCAATCTGTGCCTGTTGTGGAGTAACCAGAAGCAAATGAAGAACTGTCTTGGGTTGGTTAGTAGACTAAGAGTAGTGGCAGCTGCCTATGACAGCTGGTTTTGAGAGCATCCAGGGCTGCACTGGAGCCAGCTCCTACCTCATTAGGACTGACTATTAAATTGTAAGTGTGAACATTTACATCTCAGAAGATGCAAATGCTCCAAATCAGGGCTTGATTTATTGTTTTGTTGATTGTCTGGACTTAAGAGAGTGATGGAGAAAATGTCGATAATGCAGATTTTAAAAAGTATGTTCTGTATACATTTTTTCAGATGAGTTTTTAAACATTTACCAGCAAGCACACCCC